CGCATGTTGCTGAAGGAATTTCTGATAAACATTTGCATTCACCTTGCCATTGTAGCGTCTGCGTAGAATCATGCATGGTCTTTGGGGTTTATGGCTTAAGAGGCCCCATTTGCATATAAATTACAGTCCTGGTCACAGACTATCTTGTTTTGTGTGATGGGGGCATTGTCTTGCATGAAAATTGCAGGCTGATTGGGAGATGCTTGCAGGGAAGGTACCGCATGTTGCTGAAGGAATTTCTGATAAACATTTGCATTCACCTTGCCATTGTAGCGTCTGCGTAGAATCATGCATGGTCTTTGGGGTTTATGGCTTAAGAGGCCCCATTTGCATATAAATTACAGTCCTGGTCACAGACTTTACATTTATATGGGGGCTAAATTGCCAAATGGTTCCTCGCTATCAAGGAGATGCATAAAGAAGGAAAGCTACTTTCCTTGGCCAGGAAAATAATCTTTCCTTGAATTGATAAATGATTATATTGTCTGCTCGGTGGACGGACAGATCAAATAATTATAATATTGATTCTGCTACAGTTAATTCTAAGATCTAATCTAAATATTTATTATTAATCATAACCAGTTATAATTAGTCATAAATATTTCCCTTTTGAGCTGATTTACTACACCATGTAGCTGTATAAGAGGTCCAAATCCTGCTGCAGAAAATATCCCCCAAAACATGACACTTCCTCCTCTACCTTTCACTGACTTCTTTACACACTCAGGGTTCGGTCTTTCCCCAGTTTGACATCAAACATAATGTGTCCCATCTGACCCAAATAAATTAAACTTGCTCTCATCACTAAAGTGAACTTTGGACCAGTTCTCCTCTCTCCACACAACATGTTCCTCAGCAAAGGTGAGCCTAGCCTTTTGATTCTTTCTGCTGATGAGAGGCTTGGTCAATGCAGAGTGCACTTTCAGTCCGACTTCTCTCAAACATGCCATCCTTACCCTGTTCAGCGCTGAACTGGCAAGCAATTCCAGCTGCAGTGTTGAACCGATTTACCACTGAGCGTTTCTGCATTATCCTGTCTTCTCATGCATTTGTCTTACATGGATGACCAGCCTTTCTGGTGGACTTGAATGAATTTGTGTCATTGCAACCTGCAATATTCGAGAAATCACAGATTTTGAATGGCCAACTTCTCTTGCAATGGCTGAAAGGGTCATCCTTTTGACCTTTGTCTCGACAACCTCCTTCCGCAGGGTTTCAGTCATATTATGCAGCCTGCCATATTGTAATCTCAGTAAAAAATTGGAGGAATGCTAGTAGGAAATTAGCACCACTTGTAAAATCTATGTAAAAACAACCTCTCATAACTTACAGCTAATGCATGTGTAACCGAGCGATACCCAAAGGTCACACTAGATTCCGACTATGCCACCGGGGTTTGTAAACAGTGGTGTAAACACACCATCCTTATTATTCACTCGGTCACACATGCTTCCTTCATTAAACACTGTACACATTTTGTACAAGACATGTAAGCATCTAAAAGATGTGTGTGTGTGTGTGCTGTGACTGAGCCGTGTCTTGCAGAGAGCCTGATTTCTTTGGATTTCATCCACACACAGGCAGAAAGGGGTCTCCCTGTCCTGTTGGGAGGGGCTGGCAAAGTCTGGGTGGGCACAGTGACTAAGAAAGTGTGTGGGAGTGGATGCATAGACCCCACATTCTGCACCTGGTACCCTCCCCTCCGCTCAGTGTGTACATGGTGCTCTGATGCATGACTGCGAGTCCAACACACTCACACACACGTAAAGGCATCAGTGCATATTAAGTCAGAAGTGCTGCGGGCAAACTCAATAAAGTATTCATTTGACATCACCCAGAAGTTCACAGCCGTCTGCCTGCGTGCTTCACACTCATTCTAAAAACAAATACCCATCCGTATTATTGGGTGATGAGAGGAAATGATTTTGTAATAAAACACTACACTGGATTGCTTCATATTTCCTCGTTTGCCTCATGCGCATTTCTCCACGGTGATCAATGAAGTACTTCAATCTATTATGATCCTTGAGATAAGCAATATATCAATGCAATACTGATGAAACTCATAATGTAAGCAGCAGTTGTGCCGTGAAGCATAGTCTGTCAATAGAAACAGATAAAAACAAACAACACTGACAAAAATATATTATATATATGTATATTATAGGATTTAGATAGTAGTGTTGTTGTTGTTTTTTTATAATGTAAAGTAGATTCATTAAGATATAATCCATGCTGCATACTCCAATACAGTAGGTGGCAGTATGCACCTGATAAGTCATGGTTGTAATCCGCCATAAAACTAATAATAATAAGAAGAAGAACTTAACTGTAGGGGGCTCCAAAGTCACAAAAATAGACAAAACTACATACAGTTGCTTTAAAATCAACATTAAGTTGCATTCGTAACCGATTCAATTTCGATAGTGTGGTGTGTTTCTGAGTGAAACAGAACATTCAACAAGTGAAATGTATGGCGGCACAGTAAGTTGTGTAGGCCTATAAGAAAATGAATAATAGGCTAGTTCATTTTCATGTCATGTTTGACTTGAAAAGATAAGATCAGAGCTTATTCCGAATATTTTCTGTGATCTCTGCTTTATACTTTGCTTTCTATCTACTTTCTTCAGACTGTGGTCTTTCCCACATGCTCTCTACCATGAATACTAATTCCTCCTCCCTCGGTCCGTTAGCATAATTAAACCAATGACTCAGCATTGAGTTTTTCCACTCTCTGTTCTCCTGAAACACAAGCAGACCCTCAGCAATAACTGCCCATCGACCAAATGCACAGAATATGTAAATGTGCTGTCCCTCTGTGTAACCGAAATCCTCCGGGAAGACGTGTGTCTTTCTGAGCTGCTGTTTGAATGATTTGTCGTGATTATCAAACACTGCGGAAAAGCTGTTATGTAACAAACATTAAAAAAAACATACTCTGCGCAGTCCGTTTTCACACATTTCTCTTTTTAAATGTAAAGTAAGGCTCTATGAGATACAGTATAAAGGGCTATGCTTTAGCTACTCTGAGATTAGTCAAAAAGTTATTTAACATCCTTTTTTGCTCCAGCACCTTTCTGTTAAATGCAGGGCTAGTATAGAACAAAAGAGAGGATTAAGGAGTGCTATATATCAGGACTACATTACCTGAACTAAAGCCTGCTGGGATTTTAAACTTAATTTATTTTAATAGTCTTCATAGAGCACGACGTGCAAATCAGTCTTGCCTTATCCTTGAAGTGAATGTGTGTGTGTGTTTATAGGGTCAAGACTAGGATAAAGAGGACAAGCAGCTTTATGTGCTATCACTTCTGCTTTAACCCATTCAAACGTGACTTAGGCTATAGATAAGACTGTTGTCTAATTCATTAATAGGTTAACTATTAAAGTCAATTTATTTCCTTAAAGCAACAGTTCCAAGCAAAACAGAAATATATATAGGCTATACATGTGTGCATGTGAGAGCTTGTAACACTCAAAAGAGAAAGGAAAAATTGAAATCGCATCCCATGACCCCTTTAATTACGAAAAGGGTGAATCTTCTATAAATAAATTATGACATCAAGCGTCCAGGGATATGAAAGTTCTTTATTAAATCAATATTATTAGTTTTACATTCATGTGTAAACACCACTGGTATGAGGCAGACGGAAGCCAAAAGGAGAGAAAAATTACCATGCTACCTACCTAACCAGATGGCCTGCAAAGACATTTGACATAAAATGAGCCGTTTTTCAATCTGTCAAAAGTACCCAGTTCACAACACTCATTTGAACAGGTTGATTCATTGGCATGTGCAAAATAACATGATGTTTAACATCTACATCATCAGATGACCTTGATAATGGGCACTTCGTGACATAACAAGCTTTATTGACATCTGGGTAAATCCAGGCCCTCCTATTGGCTATCACATGGCAGAGACAACTTGTGTATTCCTAATTGGTTATTATATATTCCCATATATGAAGAGGGTATCGGATGGCAACTGCTATAAGAACTACAGGTAACATTATAATCTTAGATAATGAAAGGTATGCAGAGGAATGTTTTACGATTAAATTTACAAAAGATAAAAATATAATTGGAGGACTGGTCCAAATAACAATGCTTGATTTTTACACTTCACATATTAGACTGGGTTGTTTCTAAGACTGCAAAAGAAGAAACATAAAAAAATGTATCAAATATAAAGGCCAGTGTAATACACAGTTTATCTTTGTCTTGACATATCAGCGTTCTCATAAATCACAAAATTCACAGCAGCAAAACAACTGCGATATTGTTTTTTAGATGATCATTTTCGGATAGTCAACCTCAATGTCTAAAGATCTGATTACACTTTAGGTGTATTAAATATTTTGACTAAAATGTGTAAAATATTGGTTTTTGGTTCACTGCTGTGTAAACAGGGTCCAGAAATGTGATCACACTTAGTACCAATGGCATGAAAATGCTTGCATTATTTTTTTATTCAAATATGCACTGTTATTATGTTCAAAAGTTTGAGGTCAGTTAGATTTTTTATTTGTCTTTATTTTCAAGAAATTAATACTTCTACTCAACTGGGATGCATTAAATTGATCAAAAGTTACAATAAATCTATTTTTATTTATTTATTTTATTTATATCTATTTATATTAATCTTTTAAACTTTCTATTCATCAAAGAATGCTTAAAAATGTCTAACAGTTTTCACAAAAATATTAAGCAGCACAACTGCTTTCAACATTAATATAATAAGAAATGTTTCTTGAGAATCAAATCCACAAATTGATTTTTTCTGAAGGATCATGTGACACTATAATAGACTAAATTAATGGCTGCTCAAAATTCAGCTTTGCCATCAAAGGAATAAATTACATTTTTACAATTGAAAACAGTTATTTTATATATGTTTTCCTGTATTTTGATCAAATAAATGCAGTCTTAGTGAGCATACATCTTTCAAAAACATTCAAGAATCTTTCTGACCCCAAACTATTGATTGGTATAGTGCCTATTGACAATGGGAATTCATTGCATATTTGTGCCAGACAGCACAGGTCATTGTGTCACTTTGCTTCTCAAATTAGTTTTGGTGCATTAATGTGAGAAATATTCCACATATGTGTCTCCACATAAAAAAAAACAAGAGCTCTATGCATCCTAGATAAACTTAAGATGGAAATTTCCCCACTGAGGTAAAAGTTGTCTGACATGTTTTCTTTAGTACATGGTTTGATTTAAATCACATATTTTGTTGCCGTCCAACTGGTCAATTTAATGCTTGGAGAGTGTTGATTTTGAACCCTTTGAATAAGGAGTTTGGCTCAATACTTGACAATACACAGCATGACCTCAGTTTTGAGTAAATCATATCTGCTATTCCTGTTCAACAGTCAGCATCTTCCTGGGCACATCTACAGTACTGCCGATTATTAAGACGGACACTCACAATAATTAATGCTTGTGTGCAGTAATTCTGGCTATGGGGTGTTACAGTTGATTGATATTTCAAAATATTTTCTTTAATTATTGAAAATACGTTCAAGGATATATATAGAATTTATGAAGCAAACTTTTAAATGCAGTGCCATATAGGAAGTTTTACAGCATACCTCACATTATTCACATAAAAGTCCCGTTGACCTGGCATCTGGAAACCAGTGCAGGATCTCAGTGTAAACTGTTAGGAGTAATTTAGCTTTGATCGGCAGTGTGCTGCTCTTTGCTCCTTTCCTGCAGCCCAAGATCTCGTTCTGCGACCTCTGAATAGGCAGAGGGCAGTGCTGCCGTACTGGCGGATACATCCACAGTCTGGTTGCCAGCTGGTCCTTGTGAGCCAGGACTAACTCTGTTCTCAGCCATAAGTGGACTGGTCAGACCCAGACTGCTCAGAGCATCCAGTGTGCTATCAGGGTCCACCATTACATCAATCACTGGGGATTGAAAGTTCAAGATAAAGATATTTAGTGAATATCTCGTATAGTCATTTAAGACAACCAAGGACAATTAATCATTCAGTCAAATAATAAATATACAAACAATAATCCTTGGATTTATACTCCTTGGACCTTTTTTTATGATTGAGACTCTCCATGGAGAACAGTATTTAACAGCTTTTAAATTCAAGCACTTTATATGGGGACGTCGTGGCCTAATGGTTAGAGAGTCGGACTCGTAACCCAAAGGTTGCGGGTTTGAGTCTCGTACCGGCAGGGATTGTAGGTGGGGGGAGTGAATGTACAGCGCTCTCTTCCACCTTCAATACCACGACTGAGGTGCCCTTGAGCAAGGCACCGAACCCCCAACTCCTCCCCGGGTGCAGCAGCATAAATGGCTGCCCACTGCTCCGGGTGTGTGTTCACGGTGTGTGTGTGTTCACTGCTGTGTGTGTGCACTTTAA